GATCCAGAAGAATCCGCAGGAATGTGCACGGGCACTGTGGTGCACGCGGGTGCTGTAGTGTACGCAGGCTGTCTGTTGCAGCAGAAGGATAGTAGAGGAACGCGAGGAGGAGGAGGAGGAGGAGGAGGAGGAGGAGGAGAAGGGGGGAAGGGGGGAAGGGGGAAGGGGGCAGCACAACAAAGCTGCACAAGCCTTTCGTTCGTAGCCTGGTGGCCCCCAAAGGGGCCTGCGGACATCCGTGAAGTTTGTTCGCTGGCGTGCGACGGGTGTTCGTAAACGTCCTGCTTCACCCATTCGCACTTTTTTGTCAAAGCTCGTATGTTTCTTCTGTCCCTCCTCCTCGTCCAGAGGAGGACCAGGAGGCGGAGGAGGAGGAAGAGGAGGAGAAGGAGGCGTGAAAGACTTACACCCTTCAGCCTTTGCACACTTACAACCCTGAATCCTCACAACCCTTGTACCCTTAATTAAGCCCTTGAAGCCTTATACCCGTCAGCCCATATACCCTTAAACCTTAGACCCTTTCAACCCTCATGCTCTGAATCCCATGAACCCGTACTAGACCAATCAAACGTTACGCCTTTAAGTTTTGAGGCCCTGAAGCCTTTACACCCTGAACACCTTAAAGCCTTAAAGCCAAATCCCCAGACAACCCTTGTCTGGCCTGCCTCCAGATTGTATGTTGACTTCGCTGTTCCAGAAGATATGGCACCTATGTATCAACACCGCCAGCCACACATTCACATCTCGAGCCCCACATCTTCGCAGGCCGTGTAGGGGCAAAAGTCCAATTTGGGCAGTCTTATTATTAGCATAGGGGGCACATGTATACACGTATGCAGATGATTTGGTTTGGGGGTATACTAGCATCGCCTTATAATAAGAATAAGGGAGAGAAGTTAATTGGCCGGTTGGGATTGGTACCAGTTTGTCTTTCCGTGCTGGTTCGAACAAGTACCAGTTGGTTAGGACTCGTCCTGGATGCGTCCCCCTCCGCCCCCGTTCGAACCGCCCCCCCCCCCCCTCTGTCCCTGCAGACCAGGGAAGGGCTCCCCCCCTGCTTTGAACCCCCCTCCCCCCCGCCTGCACAGCGGGCCGCCCCCCGGTTCGAACCCCTCACCCCTCAATTTGCAACTCAGGTGGTGGGCGGCCCCCCCCCCGTTCAAGCCCCCCCACCTCCCCCCTGCACAAGGAGGGAGGGGGGGCGGGCGGTTCGGACCCCCCTCCCTTGCAGCTCCGTGGGGGGGGGGAGCGGCCCAGTCCGACCCCCCGCCCCTGGTGGACAGGTTGGGGGGGGGGGGAGAGGCGGTTCGAGCCCCCCCTCCTCCCTTGGAGCGGAGGTGGGCGGGGTCCAGGGGCGGGGGGATAGGGGAGGCCCTCCCCGTTTTCCAGGGGCGCTCACTGTCTTGGGGGGAGGGGCCGGCTCCAACGTGTCAAGATGTTTTTCCGGGCATGCGTCCACGAACCACGCTCTCTTTGGTGCACCTTCGGCGCATCGTCTACTCCAGATTTCGTAATAGAAGGGAGGGGGTCTGGACCCTCCAAGACAAGCCATTTCAGACCCCCCCCCCCGTGGGAGAACCCTCCAAAACATCGTCCCCAGACCCCCCAGGCCCTCCAAGATGGCCCGGAAGAGACCCCCCCGAAATGAGACCCCCCTCCCTTTAGTACGAAATCTGGAGTACACATCGGCGATGCATCGGCGATGCGGCGCGAGGCTGGGACCCTGCTAGTCGGACCCCGTGCGGGAGGCCTCCATCGTTCCCCCCCGTGGGCTGCAGAAGCGAGGGCCGCCAGATACTCCTGGAAGTCCTGGAGTGAAGTCGGGCACGCCCCTCTACAGGAGGACAATTCAAGACATTGTCAAAACATACTCCAGATTTCGTAATAAAGGGAGGGGGGTCTCATTTCGGGGGGGGTCTCTTCCAGGCTATCTTGGAGGGCCTGGGGGGGTCTGGGGACGATGTTTTGGAGGGTTCTCCCAGGGGGGGGTCTAAAACTTCTCGTCTGGGAGGGTTGAGACCCCCTCCCTTTTATTACGAACTCTGGGGTAGTTTTGGGACGATGTTTCTTTCATGTTTGGATTATGTTTGAATGTGTCGTGGCTTTTTTATATATGTTTCCGATACCCGCCTGTAGGAGGACATGCCCGACCTGACCCTATCACGCTATCAATCATGTCCGAAAGGCCTGACCTGGGAAGGTGGTCCAAGCCTCCTGCGGCCCACGGTGTGTAAAGAGACGTCGTCGGGGGCCTCGGTATGGGCGCGCAGGTCTCCGACGGCCTGGTGATTGCTCACTCCCAGAGGTTTCCCGATCTGGGCCTTCGGGGCCCGTCTGTCGGGCCCCGGAGGAGGAGGAGGAGGAGGAGGAGGAGGAGGAGGAGGGAGAGGAGAGGAGGAGGAGAGGAGGAGGAGAGGAGAGAGGGGAGGGGAGGAGGAGGAGGAGGAGGAGAGGAGGAGGAGGAGGAGGAGTGGGAGGAGGCAATCAGGGATCTGGATCTGGAGCGGAGAGTGGCCTCGGGGAAGGCGCCGAGGCCTGCGGAGCGGAAACACCAGGCGGCCAGGGGGGGACTCCGACGAGCCTTCCCCCACACCTTCGGGCGGACTGCGCCGGTCAGTCTCCGCGCCTCCCGCCAGCGACGAACGCACCCATGTCCGTGCCCTGTTGTTCTGGGTTCTGGGTTTTGGGGCGCGGTGCCATGGATACGCGACCGCACGGGCACGTTCCACAGGCAGCGTCAGCGCACAGAGCCGCCCTGCATCCACAGGGCCGAGGCCCCGGCCGAGGTGCCGGGCCCATGGTGTTTCCCGTCCGCGAGCCTCTCCTCCGCTGTTCGGCCCCTGCAGGCCGTTTGATCGGGCCCCGCGGGGTCGATTCAAAGATCCGAGGGGGCCCCCACACGGTGTGGTGACCACGCCGCCTGGTGAGTCGGGGGGACTCGGGGCCACCGCGCGGCTTTGGGGCAACTCGGGGTCGTGCTCCGAGGACGTCTCGGGCGACTGGGGCCTCCGAGGCCCCAGAGCCGTGCGGTGACGAGCCGCGCGGCGAGGTCGCTGGGGATTCCCGGGTCACCGGTCCGTCACCGCACGCTTCTGGGGTTCCCGGAAGAGTCAGGCCTGGCACGCCTGGCTGTCCCCCCCGTTGGAGGGGGGCCGTCACCCCAGGGGCCCGCGGATTGGAAAAGCAGCCCATCGGATTCTGTGGGCTGGAGGCTTCCAGATTTAACTCGGGCATGTCCCTCTACAGAGGAATATTCAGAGATAGTCACGAAATAGTTTGGGAATGTGTTTCGACTGGTTGGACTAACACGTTTTAGGATGTTTGACTATGTTTAATGTTTCTTGCAAAATCCGCTTGTAATTAGGAGGACATGCCCGACCTGATTCCAGATTCAGGGTGCCGCCGCAACCAGCGCTCTCCGCCGCCGTCGTCGCCGTCGTCGGTCAGGGTTCGGGGCTCGAGGCTCGAGGCTCGAGGTCCAGCGACGTTTGGGGTTCTTTTCTGAAGCTTCTCGGGTGGCAAGTTTGCCTTCCCTTGTCTGCGACGTTAAGGGCTTCCTAGGGTAACCCCATCGTGGCTCACGGCTGGGTCGTCGTCGTCGTCGTCGACCGATCGATCGGTCGAACGAAGTTTGAGGCTCAAAAAGTTTTGCGCCACTTTCGGCGAATGCTGGCCCGTCATAGACCCATGTGGGATCCGAAAAGTTGCCGAGGATGGACCCCAGGAGGGCTGACTACGAGCGCAGGGCTTGCCAGTCGCCCTCCTCCTCCGCCTCCTCCTTCCTCCTCCTCCTCTTCCTCCTCTTCCTCCTCCTCCTCCTCTTCCTCCTCCTTCTCCTCCTCATCCCTCCCCCTCCTCCTTCTCCTCCTCCCCCTCCTCCTCCTCATCCTCCCCCTCCTCCTCCTCCTTGGCCCTTACCCTTGGTTGCTCTCGCCATCTCCTGCGGGCGCCAAAGACCGCAAGATCGCTCGGGAGTGGGCCCGCGAGCGCCTGCACGCAGCTGGGAGCGCCTGGGAGCGCCCCCCGCCACGTCTGGCGTGTTCCGTCCAGCACAGTGGGCACGTCAAACAAGAAACTGGCCTCCCAGCAGGTGCCTCACGGAAACGTCTGACCCCCCGATCGCCCGATGCGCCCACAGAAGCCTCTGCGCGGCCGCGGACCCGTCCGAGATTTTGACGGCCCGGTTTTCATTGGATGTTTGCAGCGGGAGTTCGCGCCAATTTTCAGACGGACCCGTCATTTGTCAGACGGCCCCGTCAGGACTCCAGTCCTCCAAATTCGAGTCTTGCGTCTCCCCGGTTTAGCTGCCCTGATGCGCCCGTGCTGAAACGCATCACTTGCCGTGTTCAAAACGTCGGTGTTGCCACGCTGCGTGGCGGCTCGGCACGTGGTGGCCCACGTTTTTTGGCCGAGCGCATCGCGCCAGACCTTCGCTCTGAGTCTGCGCGCTGCGTGCCACGACGCTGCGTGTTGCGTGCTGCGCATCGGGGCAGCCAAGCTCACCGGCTCCAGACGGAGGGAAGCGGGCCGGCAGCGGTTAGCCTTCCCTCGTGTTGGCGCCTTCCTGGGCCTGCAGAGGTAGGCGGACCCTCGCCGCCACCTGCGGGCTTCGCCTCGGGGTCCTGGCCAGCGCAGGCCCAGGGAGAGTTCGCGCGAGCTGCGGCATTAGGGTGGGATGGGCCAGAGTTCAGTCGAGCATGACCCTCTACAGGAGGAGAGTTCAACATTGCCTGGGGACGACGTGTTTGACTGTATCGGGCAATTCTTGATTCTTTTTTGAATAGTTCCAATTGTTCATCTAAAATCCGCCTGTAGGAGGACATGCCCGACCTAAGGACAGAGTGCTTTGCTTGGCCCACGGCGGCCGCGATTGCCCATGATTGCTCCAGGTTCTTCCTTCATCCTAGCGGCCGCAGGGCTCCTGGCTGCTCAGAGCTCACCCCGACTGCCTGGCTGACTAGAAGGGAGGAGGGCGCGAGGGACAGACGAGGGAGGAAGAGGAGGGGACACTCCGCGCAGAGTTTGCCTCGAGGCTTGCCCGATACTGTCAGCGTCGGCGGCCTGACCCGGCCAATGTGGAGGGACACTCTCCTGGAGGGGCGCCCTCCCGCTCTCTCCGACTTCGCGCACGGCCCGTGCTGCGTGAAGTCCTTCAGCGAGCCGTGCTCCTCCGAGCTCGACGAGCGCCAGGACCCGCGTCGCGGCACCCGGAGGGTGGTGACGGACTCGGAGCTGCATCGGCGGCCTCTCGTGCTCGACGACGACAGCCCCACCAAGTCCCTGAGGATGAGGCGAGGCCTGAGGGTTGCGGCCGCAGTGTCTGTGGATTATACGCGATCGGCGATCACGGATCGCAGCGATCGCTCAGGGGATCACTCAGGAGGGGAAAAAACACACAGACACGATTAATCGTCGATTCTCCAGAAAATATGGGAAAATATGGGAAGTGGGGGGGAAGACAAAAACCCAGAAAGTATGGGGAAATATGGGGTATATTTTTATTTGTGTGTATTTATTTGTGTGTCCTGGGGCCCCTTCAATCACGTGATCGCCGATCGCATGATCGGTTCCCCTCTGATCGCGCGACTGTTCGAGCTTGAATGCGTAATCGATCCGTGATTGGCGAGGTAGCAATCGTGAGTGGGGCGGCGGTCAGATCACGTGATCGGGTGGTGTGATCGAACGAGTGGATCAACCAGACGCGAAGGTTGCGGCGATGCTCGTGCCAGAGTCCCCGAAGTCCTATCGCCAGGCGATCTCTGAGAGGGGGTACGCCCTCGGTGCTGTGCTCGGACGGAGCCGGACGAATTGCGGCTTCACGGTGGTCGCTGTCGAGAAGGAGGGCCGCCGCTTCGCGGCCAAGGGCACGAGCGAGCGCGAGTTCGACGGCATCCTGACCGACACCCTGAAGGGCGAGTACGACATCCTGCGCGACCTGAGCCACCCGGGGATTGTGCGGGCCGAGGAGCTCTGGAGCCGGTTGGGAGCTGAGGTTGCCCAGCGCATTGCTTCCGCCTGGCACTGGTTCCCGCCAGCAGAATTCAAGGGAGGAAAAAGAACCAGACCCGAGAATTGGCGTTTACTAAACGGCCTTGGGCGTCTATTAAACAGCCATGCCCTGTTCGATTCCTTCTCTGGGTGCGTTTATTAAATGGCTCCGCGTGTCGGGGTGATGAAACTGAGGGTGGCTTTTTTCTTCCTTGAGAAAGAGAGGAGACAGGGGCCCCTTCGTGGCCACGGCTGGGCGCAGCTTGAGAAGCTAGTCAGTTACGAGCCTGAGAAGTCCGGGAACAGATCTTGAGCGAAATTGCTTCCACCTCCCTTCTTAACCGATGTTCTCTGGGCTGGTCCAGCTCAGATAGTCACCACCTACCAAACCATCCCAACCCAACCCGAAGGTCCAGATTTGCCCTCCATTTCCAGTGGGAGGGGTGGGGAACAATGAATAACCACATCTGAAGCCAGTACCTCCCCCCCCAGCCCGAACTTAGGGTCTTCGGGTTGGTATGGGGTGGTCTGGTAGGTAAGCAGCAATTGCCCTCATCCCCCTTCTGGACACATGTTTTTGGGCTGGTCCAGGTCAGACAGGGCCAGGCGAAAGGGTAGGACAGGGCCAGGAGGGGTTGCGAAGTCTGTTGCATGCAGCTGGTTTCCGCCCTACTGCCGGGCACATGCTTCCATGGACGCCTGGCCTCCCAGCGCCAGGAGGCGCCAGGAAGATCAGCTGCGTGAGCTGATTCTCTGCCCCTACCCGTTGCTATCCTACCCCTTCCCCCCAGAGCAGACCCCCCGGCCGCCTCAGAGAGGAGCTGATCGAGGGCACCGGTGGGTGCGCCATGGTAATGGAGCTGTGCGCGGGCGTGTGCGTGGAGCACTTGATGCCCCAGGGCTCGGCCCTGAGCGGCCCCGCGCGCCACGGCGTGATCTGGGCCCTCCTGGACGCCGTTGCCTACCTCCACCGCGAGCTCGTGGCGCACCGGGACCTCCACCCGCTCAACGTCATGGTGGCCCGAGGAAGAGAGCACGGCGTAAAAATCAGCTTCTGGAGCTCCGCGCGGATGTCTCGGGGGTCGGCGCTGGGCCCGCGTCTGTCGGCGCCTCCGGCGCCACCCCTTGGTGAGCTCCGCGCGCCAGGAGGCCGTTTCTTTTCAGACTCCTCCTCCTCCTCCTCCTGCGGTAAGGCTCTGACCATTCCCTCTCTCTGTCCGTCCCTTCTGTTGGCTCCTGCTTGTGCTGCTGCTGCTCCCCCCCCGCTTCCCCCCTCCGCCGTCGCTCCCAGCTCCTCGCACGATATTCGATCGGCTGCGCTGGACGCGGCCTCCGACCTGGCGCTGGGGGCGGAGGTCGCACCTGGCGCCCCGCCGCTCTCGCTTCCGCCCCCACCGCCGTAGGTGGGAGGACACGCGGCCCCCTTACGCTCGTCTCCTCCTCCTCCTCCTCCTCCTCCCGCCGCCTCCGGGCTCACTCTGGTCTCTCCTCCTCCTCCTCCTCCTCCTCCTCCTCCTCCTCCTCTTCCTTTTCGTTTGCGTGAAAGGTGGAGCGAAAGGGGCGTAGCGAGGCCCGAAAAGAAAGCAGGACTTCGCGCAAGCCAAGGCCCGCTTGCGCGCCTTTTCGGCCCAGCGCTGGGCGCAAAAAGGCGTCGGAAGGGGGGGGGGGAAGTCGACTTGCGTGGGTCAAAAAATCAGTCGCCCTCCAGCAAGGGCATCCGTCGCCGAGCCAAGAAGCCCGCGCGACGCTCCGAAAGCTCATCCGCACAGTCAGAAACTGTTGGTCAGCGTGTCGCTCCGCGGGTTCCGACCCACCACGCTTCGGCGCGACACGCTGCCGCGCTGCGGCCCCGAGAAGCCTTTTCCCCGGCCTCCCGCCCCGCGGAGCGCAGCGAGGCGATGCTTCGCCTCCGCAGGGCACGGCGCGCCGCCGGGGCCGCCGCCGCCGCGACAGGCGAAGCGCACGAGTTCTGGACCGTTTGCTGTTCCCTGCGGGCTCCAGGTGGACGCTCCGGCCGTCGCCCGCTGCGCCTCCGAGGGCATCCCCGCGGAGGGCGCGGTCAAGATCGTGGACTTCGGCAGTGCCCTGCGCAGCACGGCGGGCGGGGGCAGCTGCGGCGCCGGCGGACTCGAGGACAACGCGACCCAGGACATCTTACCGCCGCTCG